ACAGCTCAAACAAAAATCTCTCTTCAGAAAAGTTAACATTTTATCATTTCTGTTCAGCTTTTCATAGTATAGATGTTCAAAGAGAAACAATACACGTATCTTGTTTCCCTGAATTATCCAGGTAATAGAAAGGAAAATCAGATTTTTATATTAAACAGATCAATATTGCCATCAATATTGCCATCGTGGAAACTTGTCAACCAGCCCATGATGAGTTCCCAAGAGGATACAACTGGCCACCCTGGCTCCCACTCACAATCTATTCAACCCACGATTTTATTGCCAACACAGTCTCCAAGGGACACACAACATATTTGATAAATAGTCTTTCAAACAAATTTTATATTTATAAACTCACTGCTTGTGTAAATATTTTATTGTGATTTTTCCCAAAGATTTATTACTATGATTATTCATATCTATTGGAGCCAAAGAGAGAGAGAGGGAGAGAGAGAGGGAGAGAGAGAGAGGAAAATGAAATGCTCACATTACACTCAGTCCTTACTGATTCCTCAAAAAAAACCTAAAATACAGTTACCATATGATCCAACAATTCCATTCCTGGGTATAAACCTGAAATAACTGAAATCAAGGTCTGGAAGAGATATTTGTGTACCTGTGTTCATAGTAACATTATTTACAATAGCCAAACTGCCCATTGCTGGATGAATGAATAAACAAAATGTGGCACACTTAGGAAGAAATATTTACACATGCAACAATATTGATCAACATTGAGGACATTATGCTAAGTGAAATAAGCAATTCACAAAAAGATAAATATTATGATTCTACTTATATAAATACCTAGGATAGTCAATATCATAGAGACAGAAAATAGTGATTATTGGGAGTTCGGGAGAGTGATGGGGAGTTGTTTAATGGGTAGGGAATTTTAGTTTCTCAAAACAAAAAAAGTTCTGGAGATTGGTTGCACAACAATGTGAATATACTTAATGCTACAGAACTGTACACTTAAAAATGATTAAGATCATAAATTTCATGTGATGTGTATTTTACCACAATTAAAAAATATATTATTTCTAAAAAATTAACCATGATTCCAGGCTCATGGTAAGTGATCAAAGAAATCAGCTATTGCCCAAGCCCCGTGGTCAGCAAACCGCGGCTCGCGAGCCACATGCGGCTCTTTGGCCCCTTGAGTGTGGCCACAAAGTTTCAATCGCACTGTACGTGCGCGCCCGCACGTGGTATTTTGTGGAAGAGCCACACTCAAGGGGCCGCAGTTTGCCGACCACTGCAGCCTAGCCGGTTTGGTTCAGTGGAAAGAGTGTCAGCCTGCGGACCAAAGGGTCCTGGGTTCAATTCTGGTCAAGGGCACATACCTCGGTTTCAGGCTCCTCCCCACCCTGGTCCCTGGCCAGGCTCCTGCAGGAGGCAACCAATCCATGTGTTTCTCTCATATAGATGTTTCCCTCTGTCTTTCCTTCTCTCTTTCACTCTCCCTAAAAATCAATGGAAAAATATCCTCAGGTAAGGATTAAAAAAAAGAAAAAAGAAATTAGCTATCATAATTTGAATGTAATGGTCTCTTTACTAATTAATACTGCAAGGTTGAGGAAAGGCAGAAGTTTTATTTTTCCAACTGAATAAACTGAGGAGGTGGGTTAGCTGAGTTCACACTGAACCAATCCTAAATACTGATGGACGAAGTGTGGCTTGATGAAATAAGATGCCTGAACTTTCATTTAAGAAGACATTGTTTTAGTCCTGATCCTATCAATAACAGACTGTGTGATCTGTAGCAATTCTTTTTGCTGGTCTGAGATTGAGTTTCTTCATCTAAAATTTTCTGGTTAAAATGATTTGTCTCTAGATTTTCTTGCCCACTAAAATACATATTCAGAAACTGTATATTCAGAAACATTAACTCCACCACTTTCCAGTGCCATGCATATATGTGCTCACAGTCAACAAGTTTATAGTCAAGAAGTCAACATACTACAGGCAAACTGTTGACTACATATTAGTCCTTAGTACATCGTACTAGATTTCATAGTAAGTACATGACTTCACAGTATTTTCCTACACAATAACTCCAAATACATGAGGAGTATAAGTATAATGGGGTACACAATGTAAAATGCCCAGCTAGATTAGTTTTATAGAGCTTGATAGTTGAATTGGACCAACTGTCTACAGATCAGTTAGTAGAGAACACAGAGAATAATTTTGCCAAGGATTATTAGCACCTCAAAGGAACTATTATAAAACTTACTAGTAAAAATATTGCAACATTCAAATAAAGTATGTGGATACAAGGGAAACAAAAGAAAAAATAAACAAATGGGATTACATCAAACTAAAAAGTTTTTGCACAGCAAAGGAAACCATCAACAAAATGAGAAGACAACCCACTGAATGGGAGAATATATTCACCAATAATACATCTGATAGTATCCAAAATTTATAAAGAACTTATACAATTCACCACCAAAACAAACAAACAAACAATCCAATTAGAAAATGGGCAAAGAACTTAAATAGACACTTATCCAAAGAGGACAAACAAATGGCCAATAGACATATGAAAAAATGCTCAACATCAATAATCACCAGAAAAATGCAAACTAAAACCACAATGAGATATCTTCTCATACCTGTCAAAATGGCTAACATCAATAAATCAAAAACAACAAATGTTGGGAATGCAGATTGGTGCAGCTGCTATGGAAAACAGTATGGAGGTTCCTCAAAAAAATTAAAAATGGAACTGCCTTATGACCCACCTATTCCACTTCTGTGTATATATCTGAAGAAACCCAAAACACTAATTGGAAAGATTATATGCATCCTTGTGTTCATTGCAGCATTATTTACAATAGCCACGCTATTAAAGCAACCCAAGTTCCCATCAATAGACAAGTGGATAAAAAAGCTGTGGTACACATATATAATGGAATATTATTTGGCCATAAAAAAGGAATGAAATCTTACCATTTGCAACAGCTTGGGTAGAATCTAGAGGGTATTATTCTAAGAGAAATAAGTCAGTCAGAGAAAGATAAATACCATATGATTTCACTCATATGTGGAATCTAAAGAACAATATAAACAGATAAATAAAACACAAACAGACTCATAGATAAAAAGAACAGATGATGGTTGCCAGAGCAGAAGGGTTTGGGGGCCTGGCAGAAAAAGGTGAAGGAATTGAGAAGTACAGATTGGTAGTTACAAAATAGTTATGGGGATGTAAGTACAGCAGAGGGAATATAGTCAATAATACTGTAACAACTATGTATGGTTCCTGGTGGGTATTAGAAATATTGGAGGGGGGGGAAACCTTGCAAAGTTTATGATTGTCTAGCCACTATGCTATACACCATAAACTAATACAAAATAATATTAAATGTAAACTGTAATTTAAAGAATTAAAAAAATTTAAACAAATTTTAGAAGCAAGTATGTGGATTCTTGTTCTTATCTATCAGTCTGATAGTCATTTACATCCCTGGAGAACCCAGTATTTAGAGTAATATTAGTCAAACCTGTCATCCTATTGTACACAATTTAAACATGTTAAATGAGCTTCAAAATCTCAATAGATATGTACCTCGAGGAAGATGTTGTTTACATTTGAAAAGCTGATGAAAACAGGGAATGATTACACAGCTGGCAGTAATTGAGTAAAATATGCATACACTTTCATCTGACATTTTCATATGAAAATTAGCCTCGTACAAGTAAGATTCATGATACAGAAGGATAAATATACAGGATGTCTATGATAGCACTGTTTAGAGTGGTAAAAAATTATAGCCAGAATCCTCATTATCTAAGGAATAAAGAAATACACTCAAACAATAGAATGTCTTTGTAGTTATTTAAAATGATGCATCTGAAAGGGCGAGGGCTACGCCCTCCATCTTGCCCCGAATCCTCCATTTTTGGGCAGAGCCATGTGCTCAGCAAGGAGCTTCTTCCCGGAAGAAGCAAACATGTTAAATGAGCTTCAAAATCTCAATAGATATGTACCTCGAGGAAGATGTTGTTTACATTTGAAAAGCTGATGAAAACAGGGAATGATTACACAGCTGGCAGTAATTCAGTAAAATATGCATACACTTTCATCTGGCATTTTCATATGAAAATTAGCCTCATACAAGTAAGATTCATGATACAGAAGGATAAATATACAGGATGTCTATGATAGCACTGTTTAGAGTGGTAAAAAATTATGAATAGCCAGGATCCTCATTATCTAAGGAATAAAGAAATACACTCAAATAATAGAATGTCTTTGTAGTTATTTAAAATGATGCATCCATGTGGCACCTTTGTTACAAGTGATGAGCCAATACTAGTAAATTATTATTAATAATACTAGTACATAGTTTACATTAGTATTGCTTTGTTGCAAAATGTAAATAACAGGGGACACTGGATGTGGGTGTGGGTGAGGGGGGTATATGCTAGGTCTTTAGCTCAATTGTTCTGAAAATCTAAAACTGCTCTAAAATTATATTAATTTTTAAAGAATTCATAAAGCAATGCTAAAAATGAGCAACTTTCTAACTTGAAGAAAGATATTTAATGTACTATACAAGTTGACATAAAATTAAGTATCAAAAGCACCTTATTGTGATTATATGAAAAGGACCAATGAGTGAAATGATTCTACATACTAGGCTATTGACATATTTTAAAAATGGCACTATAAAAATGGAAAGACAATGTGCCATGATGTTAAATGAAAGTGAAAATATAATTTTCTTTATTTTTATCATTAAGACAAATTATAACAAATACAACAAATATGAAACTGAAAAGTCACCATCCTTCATAACTATAATAAACCTCTAACTATGGTAAACCTCTAAGCTCAGACTTCTAAGATTTACTCTCAATATGTATGTAAAGGAAAGCTTTTATAATATAGAAAGTAAATTGGAGTAAAAAAAAAAAAAAAACCACCAACACTTTTAAGACCATAATTATCATAGATCCAAAAATATATTTTAAAATTTGAACTTACCTTTTACTTCTTTGTTTTGGGTGACATCTGTAATCTGTGGGGAGCAGGGAACTTGGCCTATGAGAAAGTAATTTAATATACCAGTTTAATGTTTCTCAAATATATTATTTTTTGTTATTTAAGACAGATAATTACGAAGCAAAGGTTTGCTCTCCCCAATAAAAGTGAAGTCAAATAAAAATAAAAGTAAATTCTTCATTATGTTAACGGTGCTTATAACCTTGTCTGTGCTGAACAAACATTTTTCAATGTGAACCTCAGAATGAAAGGTACGTGGGTGATAATAACACATTGTCATCACAGAGGTCTTCCTCCCCTTAGCAGAGTAGTTGCCTGTGAGGGTTGGTCACCTGCCCTCCAGGTTATAGGTGGAAGCAAGCACAGTGGATTAGAAAGGCTAATGCTTCCTGCCCCTGTCAACATCCCTCAGCCCTAATTTCTATACACTGATCATTAGTAAATACTCAGATGGGCTCCATGCCACATGGGGTAGGGGGTTGAGCTGATGAAGGGGACTGAGGGGTGGGATGGGTGCAAAGGGGCTTGGGATCTTCTCCTCTTCTATAAATAGGGATAGAGAGTTAGAAACATCCATCAGTTGCCTCCTGCACGCCCCCTACTGGGGATGTGCCCACAACCAAGGTACATGCCCTTGACCGGAATCGAACCTGGGACCCTTCAGTCCGCAGACCAACGCTCTATCCACTGAGCCAAACCGGTCAGGGCTTTGAGAAAGAATTATTTTAAAGGCTTTCTCCAGTGTGATACATATTGCCTTACAGGTAAAGGCCCCAAAGAAGGGTTCTTTCAACTCCTAAGTACGTCCACGGCAATCACGGCTCTGGCTTTACAAGGGAATCTGGGTGGCACATCTCTCTGCCCATTGAGCGAACCTCATGCAATGTTCTGAATTCAGTGGATACTGTGTTAAATTTTTTTGGGGGAACTGTATTTTGTCACACATTTACTAAGGCTCTAATAAAGGGAATAAACTAAGTTTCTGATAATTCCATGTTACAATTGATTTCTGATTTAACTGTTACCCTCTCTCTTCTTTTTCTTCAACAATGAAAAAAAAAAGAAGCTTTTGTCACTCCTAGCAAAGCTCTCTATTTGTGATCCAGATCGGATGCTATCAATGACACTAATATTTATTTTTTTTTAAAAAAGCAGGCAAATCGCATAGTCCCTCTGCTCTGAATCTTTCAATAGCTCCATACCACTCCCAGAATAACCAAACAAAAAATTCATTGCAATACATCAAATGAGCAAGTTTAAGTTTATGAACCAATACACTGGTAGTGAAAAGAAGAGAAACAGACAAAAACATTTTGGAAATAATGTGCATAATGGCTTTTATAACCAAAGTGATGCATAAGGAAGAGAAAAAGTAAAGGATGATGCTAAGATCTCTAGCTTGAGTCTGATAGCAATACCATTCTCCATGAACGAGAATAAAGCATGTATAAAAGTTATGTATAGATATGAATCTCTTCTATTAGACTGTGATCTGTTTGATAAATACACTAATTTATCTCTGTAGTCCCTGTAGGATTTACTATAATATACTGCATGTAATACTAGTTTCAAACAAGTGTTTGATTTAAGAGTGGGTAAATATGGACTACAAAAATCTTATCTACAGCACCACAAATCTACTGAGGTTACTGGAGAAACCAGTCAGAGAATAAAGGCTGTTTTTCAAATCCTGACATTCAGATATCCAAGTAGGCAAGCCATGCTATGTCACTAATATCAAGATAAAAATGAGTGTGTTTCTCCTTTGTGACTCTGCATTGCCCAGAATAGGATTTATGTTTCCTTTCAAGACTATTCTTGATGTTCATGGGAATGAGCAGGAAATCTGGGAGTGAGATTGTGTGTGAAAGAGAGACTTGTTCATCAAGCACATCAATCGTGCTAGAAAAAAAATGTACAAACTTAGGGGATTGTGAGTTAAGGTGCAATTTCAAGGCCTTAATCCCTCAGGCTTCAGCTAAGTACAACTACTGAGTCTACCTCATGGCCAGGGTCAGTCTTTGCTATTTTATATTTTGGGGCAAGGGAGTAAATGATGGAACAAAGGATGACAGAATTCTAGCTAGAGGTGAAGGCAGGGACAAGAATGATGATTTTGAAAACTAAAGTGGAAGCAAACCAGAACCATCTATTTCCATTGTTAGAACCCCAAAGAGCATCCGAGGTCGAAGGAGATGATCACATCAACAACCTGTGAGTAAGGCAATCACCCTCCGTGGAATTTGTCCAGGGCAGCCTGGCTCTTGGTTAGTGGGAACTGACAAGATACTTGGCACTGAAAAGGCATCACAGAGGAAGATCACACCCCGCCCGGGGTATCACCCAGGCGCACTAATTCACTTAGCCGGGGGCTGCCACATCTTTCTTTTGTTTGCACCAGCAAATGGGCAGCATTACTGGAGCAGCTGTTTTGCTCTCCTGCATCTGTTGCTAACGCAAACAGCCTCTCCAGTCACCGTATTTATACCTTCTGCTTGCAGGGCACAGATCATGATTTTCAGTCCTGTCATGGCACATCTCATAGCAACACATGGTTGTTATTGTAAATAGGTCTGTTTAACTCTATTGCCTCCTGTAAACGTGGGGAGCAGTTCACTGCCCCTGCAAGCAGAGCTACGGGCGTGGGTAGAGATGTCAGGGGCTTGGCAATGGGAACTGGGGGTCAATTGCCAATGAGAGAAAACATGACAAGTGAGCCAGGATGAGTAATAGGAAGGACAATTATATCAAAACAGTCTCTTAAGTGGGACAAATAGGTACAGAAGAAACGGCATAAATTGGTAGGTGAACCTTACATATGGAAATAAATTATTATACTATCACGGGATTGATAATATTATTACAAAAAATTGTAGCAATGGCCAGCATTTTTGTAGCTGCTTTATAGTTTACAAAGCAGAGCCAATAGGAAACCAGTGTGGACAGTTTACATTTTTAAAAGTCTATATTAAAACAAAACCAAACTGTTTGAGTTAGTCCTGGGACCTAAGTTTCCTTACACTTTGCCTAGTTTCCTCTTCCCATAGGTCAATCCTAGCCGTTAAAATAAAAGTCAAGCCAAATAAACTAAAATATTAGCAGTAAAAACTAAAATAGTCTCATTGTCTCATCACCCCTCTGTACATTTTCATCAAGAATACATAGAGTGTATATGCCATGGCATCTGCTTATATGAAGATCATCAAGCTCATTTCCCATTGTGAGCACAGGTCTGAGTAACCTCAAAGTCTCAGAACACATTGAGAGGATAATCAGAGTGTAATTGCGATATCTTAAAAGTTGAGGTACTTGTCTTCGTAAAAATACACTCGAGTTTGGGAAGAGGCAATGGGTATGAAAAATCACCCAGCTACCACTTGCTTGACTGTGAGTTTAATAAAAGAAGAAGCTCAATTCCTATGAAGTAAAGTAGTTAAAAAACACTAAAAATTTTTGAAAATGAGACACAAATTATCAAGCAAGAAGTTATGAAAAGAAAAATTGGGGTGGGCATAGGTAGTAAAGGGTAAAGGGGGTCAAATAGATGGTGATGGAAGACGATTTGACTTTGGGTGCTAATCAAAACTGTGAGTTTAATAAAAGAAGAAGCTCAATTCCTATGAAGTAAAGTAGTTAAAAAACACTAAAAATTTTTGAAAATGAGACACAAATTATCAAGCAAGAAGTTATGAAAAGAAAAATTGGGGTGGGCATAGGTAGTAAAGGGTAAAGGGGGTCAAATATATGGTGATGGAAGACGATTTGACTTTGGGTGCTATGCACACAGTGCAATCAATATACAGATCATGTATCATAGAAATGTATGCTTAATTTTTTGCATGTGATATCTCATATTTATTCAGCTATTAGAGTTCGACTAACAATATGACTATGAGATTAATTACAAATTTCATTATTATCCAGATCCTGTGAAAAATACATATACTTTATATCAATAGGAAGATGATCATTCAATATTATATGTTCAGTAGAGGCCTGGTGCACAAAAATTGTGCACTCAGGGGGGTCTCTCAGCTCGGCCTGTGCCCTCTCGCAGTTCGGGAGCCCTTGGGGGATGTCTGACTGACAGCTTAGGCCCGCTCCCCATGGGCCTAAGCCAGCTGTGGGCAAACTACGGCCCGCGGGCCGGATTCGGCCCGTTTGAAATGAATAAAACTAAAAAAAAAAAAGACCGTACCCTTTTATGTAATGATGTTTACTTTGAATTTATATTAGTTCACACAAACACTCCATCCATGCTTTTGTTCCGGCCCTCCGGTCCAGTTTAAGAACCCATTGTGGCCCTCGAGTCAAAAAGTTTGCCCACCCCTGGCCTAAGCCATCAGTAGGACATCCTTAGCGCTGCCACGGAGGTGGGAGAGGCTCCCGCCACCACCACTGCACTGGTCAGCCATGAGCCTGGCTTCTGGCTGAACGGTGCTCCTCCTGTGGGAGCACACTGTCCACCAGGGGGCAGCTCCTGCATTGTCTGCTCCCTGGTGGTCAGTGTGTGCCATAGCTACCAGTTGTTCCACCGTTCGTTTGATTTGCATATTAGCCTTTTATTGAAAATAATGTATTTTATTGATACCTTTTATGAAGAGAGAAAAAGGTTAATTAAATAATAGTCTTAATTTAATTTATAATGTTTTATAAGCAGAACACAACCTTTTTCTATGTTACAACAGTTTGACCACTAAACTTCAGGTTCAAAGCATAACCCCTTGATTAATTGGCATAGCTAAGAGACGGGCTTTTTAGCAAATAGCATGTGGCAAGCTAGACTAAACCTGGAACCCAAACATTCTTCTCACTGATAGTTACACTTACTTTGGATTGGCTGTGTTTACCACTAAACCTAAAAATGTAATTTATTAAATCGCTATCAGTTTGAGAGAGGAGATTCTTTTTTAAGTATAAAAAAACTATGATTTCTCAAAGTTACTCAAGTGGATTTGTGGTAAAATGAAAAAGGATCAGGTCTCCAAAGTTATTTTCCAATGTAATTTTAATCCACCTAACCTGGCAAAATCTACATC